TTTATTAGGGGCTCATACAACTGTTATCCCAATCCATACACACATCAATTGTGTAAAGCGCATTTGTACATCGTTTCTCAAAACATTTTCTCATCTTTACAGTAGCAAAAGCCTCATCTTTTTCTCCAGGAGCAGGCTGGTGGACTTGAACTGCTGACAATTAGGCTAATAATGATGATAATACTGACTGTATACTCGCTTTAGTCTACATTCTAACATTTAATTCTCAGAACACTCCCATGTGCTGGGCACATCCCTGTTCACTGTGAGGAAACAGACTCAGTGATGGTCTAGGGTCATACTACCAGTCAGTGAAGAACAGGTATTTGAACTCTGACCCTTCTGCAGCTAGACCGGCTCTTCATCCCAGGTGTCAAATTCACAGGATCAGTGACGTGAAGCAGGGCCAGTCGCAGCATTACACCATGTCCACTAAACAGCTGACTCGGTGTGAATGGGAAACGTGTACAGGGTTCCCAGGTGCATACTTTGGTGTGCCTGTGTACGCTCAGCTGCAGTCCCGCCTCCTGCTCTTTCTGTCTCAGAAGCAGCCCTTGAGGAAGCTGCTCTGGGGCCGTGTGGAGCAGAGGATTTCAAAGAGTCGTATTTATTAGGCAAGCATAGTGGGCCTATTAAATAAAACACAGATTACTTGGACCAATCCCAGTCTCTGAATTTCCACTCAGTAAGTTTGTGTGGAAAATTTGCATTGTGACCAAGCTCCCTGGTGACCCTGATCCTGTTCCTTCTGGACTCTTGTCTTAGCGGAATCAGAAGATAATTAGGACATGAGAAGGAGAGGGTGGTTTAAGTGTTAACCCACAATTGCTCACTCTACCCCACAGACCTAGTTATTTAACTGCATTGTGGAAGACATTTTGAAATGATAAGTGGTCACCCCTCACATGCAAATATTTAGATGAGAATCACAACAGAACTCTCTAAATGGGTGTTTACAGGGCTAACACAAGACAGTGGCCCCTCTTCCTCTAAAACAGTGGGGCCGGTCCTAAAATTCGGCTATTTTCCTCATTTGTGACTCATGTCCAGCATTGGGCCTTGGAACGAGGTACTCAGCCAAGTTCTGGACTGTGTTAATGACAAGACAGGGATTTCTGAGACTCACAAGAGAGTCACCCCACTCCCCCTTCCTTCCCAGGTTGCCTCCAGCAACCATCTAATTTTTCATTTAGGTCCCAATAATTTTCCGCATTAAAGTGTTTATTAAGGACATTAACAGGTTGGAACGCAGGTAAGAAATACTCAGCATGCAGTTGTTCTTCAGGTCATGCCAACAAAGTTCCATCAGGGCGGCTAATAAATGGCTGAGAGAATGCCACTCTGGTAAACCTCAACCCGACACATCCATCCTCAGCAAACCCAGCTCCTCCAATTAAGTATCCAGCGGTACCCCACTCCACAGGCCAGTCTGGCCCCAAAGCACTCAGCTTTCCCCGGAGGCTGGGAAGTCTTCCACTCTCTCTCATGCTCTGGCTTCTGCTGCTGCTACTCTGATGGCACAGATGTCTTCTGGATCCAGGAGGTTCACTATGCAGACGTCTCGGGGTCCAGAGGACATGGTACACTCCTGGATCTTGCTAGTAGTTAGATTCCCCACTGCTGGCTTCTTAGCCAGGCACATTTTATACCCAGCAGGGCATTCCAGTGAATCCCATCAGTAGCTTACCCAGACCAGTGCAGGGAAAGATTTCGTGGGAGTTAGACTGGCTAGAAGAGCCCCATTCATTAAGTCCCTGTCCCTGTACTTATCTCAGTGGATTGTATGTATAACCGAGTCACTTGGGGTCAGTTCTCGTGTCCATAGATGATATTCTTATCAGTTTGATTGGGCCTCCTGGAGTCAGCGGCTTTCTCACCAGGTGTTTCCTTGCTAGCCCCACCAGAATCGCCTCATTAGCACCAACCCTCAGGTGTGGGTCTGGCAGCCTCATCAAAGACACTTGAGTTGCAGTAACCCCAGGTTCAGAGGTCTCTCCCGGAACCAGATTCTTTGGGTAAAGTCAAGTTCTTAGCCTCGCCTCACCTTGTTTCCTGCTGTGACTTGCTTTTCTCATCTGGGGTTTCTGTCTCTGGACTGCCTCTCTCTCCACAGCTCCATGTGCCACAGGCGAGAATCATCCTTTCCAAAGTGAAGACAGTCCGTGCACCGCCTCCTTGAAGCCCGCCCTCCCAGAAGTACCGTTTCCCTTTGTTGACCTCTTTTAGCACCTAACATACACCCCTCCCGGGATGCTTGCCCCTTTCGAAGGCAAGATCAGTCTGCCACGTGCAGGGAGAGCTGCGGGAGGAGGGGGGTGGGGCGGACAAACCTGAACGAAGGACGTCTCACCTTGTGGCGATGCCTTCTCCCCCAGCACCTTACATGGAAAGCTTCCACATTTAGTTTGCTGTTGCCTAGGTACTGAGAACCAACTTTGTAGAAACTGTGAATGCAAGAGAGAGAGAGGGAGGAGAGATGACGCAGCCAGGGGAGCGAGGGGAACTGGTGTCAGGATGATGGGGTGGGGCCTGGCCACGGGACAGCGGGGTGCAGGGACCGGAGCTGTGCTTGTGGGCTGGTTGGGGTGCAGGGCTGAGCAGCTGAGGCAGTGGGCGGAGCGCGCCGGGTGTTGGGCATCGTCTCGATGCCCATAGTGAAGCTCCAGGATGTGAACCCAGCAACTGGGGTGCTCACGGGAAGATGCTACATGCTGATGAGGGGGGAGGGGAGGCCATGGGCTCCTGCTCGGACAAGTTGTGCTTCACGAGTGCACAGGGTCTTCATAGAGATTTGTCAATTGGGCAACAGTAAAAATGATGGCAGAAGGTTAGTGTTTAAAAAGCAAACCCTAAATGCATTTCCAGTAGAAAGCACATATCCCAGAATGAATTATTTCCTTGAAGATGTCGGTCTCTGTTTACTTTTTACTGATTGGCTTTCTCCACTCATCTGCTGTTCCTTAAGCCGGACACTTAATTTTCCCCGGATGCAAAACTGTTATAGCCCCAGTGATTGAACTATCCAAAATAAAATATTTTATATCCTGAAGGTTGGATGACCCTATCAAAGATTGGGTCACTAACATTGAATATGATTTTTAGGTGGATTTAATAGAAAACTTGCTTCAAGATGATTTTGCTACCCAAACATCATTCTTGTGTGTGTTGTGATTGTAAAGCTTGGATGAATTCCTGAGCCAGCGTGCAACGTACTGTTGTAGAGCCCTGGTGACTACCCCGGTGGCGAGTTATAAGTGTGGCACCTCTTTCCTGCGTGCCATTCATGGTCTGGGGTCGCACACACAGCACCACTACACTGAGAAGAGTGGAAAGTTAGGCAACGCTCCAAAACTACCCATCATTTCTTGTCCCTTATACTCCAGACTTAAGTCAGAGACAAAGCCGAGCACTCCCTTTTCTGTGTCTGTGGCCCCTTCCTCCTTGTCACAGCGATAGATACCCCTTGCTCCTGCCCACCTCCCTCTCCTGCTGCTTCACCCCCGCCATGGGCTCTTCACGCTAGACACGGAGGACAGGCGTTGCATTGTGGCAAGTGCTGTTGCATAAACACTTCTCTCCCAACAGAAGCAGCAGGCTTTCCAGCTAGAGTTTTTAAAGGGACAGAAGTTCTGTTCGGCAAATTTTACGAGACATTTTTAAAAACGAGGAACCTGAAAAATCCTAAAATACTTTCGCAGAGAACTTGTCCTCTTATTACCACGCCTCCAAGAGAACTAGGGTGGCCTCATTGCCACTGTGGATGCGTCCCTTCCCAGGACTGTTCATTGAGGGATGTCCATAACGATGGGGAGAGGGCTGCCCTTTGTGCCCACCTGCCACAAGGGTTCTACCCACTGCCAGTTTAGTGTGGGAGAGGATAGCTGTGCCATTTTGTTAATGCCAGCCGGGAGGTCTGCCATGGACCCACCAGCCACATCAAAGGTAGTTTCAGCTAAGGAATTAACCCGAATGAAGAGTACGCAGGATTGGTTTGCTCAATGGTTTGACACCTCCTGCCCCCTCCTAGTTGATCCTTCTTGAAAACAGGATTAAAAGGACCACATACCAGGGCCTATTTCGAAGGAACCTAGCGGGATTTCAGATGAACACTTAAGCATGTGCACTTTTGGCTGAACCTGACTCTGTTTTGAACAACAGGTGCTTGAAATGTAGTCTATGCCCTCCACTCCAGTTCCCTGGGGGGACAGGCCGTGTACCCCACTCCAGTTCCCTGGGGCAGGCTGTGTCCCCCACTCCAGTTCCCTGGGGGAAGGCCATGTCCCCCACTCCAGTTCCCTGGGGGGACAGGTCACGTCCCCCACTCCAGTTCCCTGGGGCACAGGCCATGTCCCCCACTCCAGTTCCCTGAAATGTATTCCGTGACCCCCACTCCAGTTCCCTGAGATGGAGTCCGTGACCCCACTCCAGGAGGAGCAGGCCAGGCTTCCCACTCTAGTTCCCTGAAGAGTAACCCATGTCCCCATGCCAGTTCCCTAAAAATGGACTTCTCCCAGGAAAGTCTCTGGAGACCTGTGAAGTCACAGGTCCGGGCTGAACTGTTACCTCCTGCGTCTTTTTCCTGTAACTTAGCTCTCCTGTCGTTGGCTTGTCACCTTCGCATCTGTTCCTTCGCCTTTCCCTTCCTTCTGGAGAAGGCTCTGGCAACTGGCTGGAACCTGCAGGGGAAGTCCGAGCACTCCCCTGACCTGTAGCAGCTTCCTCCCAGCGTGCCCTGCAGTCAGGAGTACTCCACTCCAGAGCTCATCCAGTGGGAGTTCTGAGTGAGGCCCAGAAATCCATCCTGTTGTTAACCTTCCCAGGTGGGCCTCATGCACAGGAAACCGGAGGCATCACTGCACCGTTAATAATAATTATAAGGTTAGCCTTTATTAGCATGGCAGACACTTTCCAGGCAATAACCGGATGAGGTAGACATGCCGGTTACCCTTGCGCAGCGCAGAACTTGACGCGTGGCAATGCACTCAATGCATCTCTGTTAAGTAAACAACCATTTAACCATTGACCTTTTTAAATGGGGGAAACTAAGGTTCAAGGACAGTTCTGGCAAGGACACACAGCTGGTGAGGGGTGGAGCCAGGCGCTAGTGCTTGTGTCCTTTGTGGGTGTGTGAATTTGTCGATTGGCACCTCCTTCTGGTGATGCTGGGAAATGCATGGCCGAAGCTTCAGAAGGGCCTCACATTGTACTGATGGCACTTACCCTCTGGCGTGTTTTGCTCTTGGCTGACCTTACCCACCTAACAAGACCACGCATGTCTTTGCTACTGCTGATGAGAGGACACCCGGGGAGGTTGGATGGCCATTCCCAAAGCTACCCAGCAAGACGTGGCATTGGCAAAGTGCCTCCTCTCCTGCCTGTAGCTCCTCAGATTGGCCAATGCCCCCTCTTACCTTCCCTTAGCGGGCAAAGCAGAATGGGTCCCTATGGAAAGTTACTATTTTCCGTATTCACTTTTGCTGCTTTTTCTGGTCAACATCGTAAACTTCTCACGGCTTTAAACATCCTTTGCCCTCGCCTTTCATTCGCTGGCTTTGGTGGGCAGGGAATGGCATGAATTTCTGTCAAGAACAGGTGGCTGCAATAAAAGAACTTGCTGGGGTTGTCTTTAACCCTCCTGGCCCTCTGAAGGCCTCTCACTCAACACACTTGCTCGATCTCTCCTTTTCTCAGACCTTCCAAGCCACCAGACTCCCGGCTGCCCTCTGCCCAGCTGGGAACTACTGTAACCCTTTTCCCAGGGTCCCTTGAGGCAGGGAACCTGCCCAGGGACAGCTCTAGAGCTTTCTGGAGCTTTGCAGGGAGTTCATTGAGACCCATGGATATCTAGACAAACCTGTTTCATACACACACACACACACACTCAGAGAGAAAGAGAGAGAAACATACAGAGAGCAATGAGGCACTGAAGAATGGCTTGCCAACAACCATGCAAAGAGTGACTGAATACGCATGGCGTAAGCAGAAGACAGTCTGTTGTGGGGCTTTTATGAGGAAGATGTAGGAATGCTTGGAAAATCCTCTTGTGGCCCTCAAACCACTGCAACTACAGTTCAAACTCTAGAAATAAAACAATAACAGCTGCACCAGCCTATGCAACCACGAGGTGTCGAAGGGATCAGGTATAAGGCATCATCAGAACAAAAAATCTTACCATAGTGAATGATGGGGGGAGTGCGGAGTGGAGATCCAAAGCCCATTAGTAGGCCACTGGAGATCCCCTTGCAGAGGGGTCTCGGGGAGGAGATGAGCCAGTCAGGGTGCGATGTAACAATGATGAGAAATACAACTTTCCTCTAGTTCCTAAATGTTTCCTCCCCGCTCCCACTACCATGACTCGAATTCTATCTTGCAAGTCTGGCTAGACCAGAGGAGGTACACTGGTACAGATAGGAACTGAAAATACAGGGAATCCAGGACGGATGAGCCCTATAGGACCAGTGGTGTGCGTGGCAAAACAGGGAGGGTAAAGGGAGAATGGGTAGGAAAGAGGGAACCGATTACATGGAACTGTGTGTGACCTCCTCCCTGGGGGACAGACAACCGAAAAGTGGATGAAGGGAGACGTCAGACAGGGCAAGATATGACAAAATACCCATTTATAAACTATCAAGGGCTCATGTGGGAGGGGGGAGCGGGGAGGGAGGGGAAAAATGAGGACCTAATGTCGGGGGTTTAAATGGAGAGAAAATGTTTTGAGAAACGATGTACAAATGCGCTTTACACAATTGATGTGTGTATGGATTGGGATAACAGTTGTATGAGCCCCTAATAAAATGTCAAAATAAATAAATAAATAAATAGCCAGATGTAAAAAAAAAAAAGAAGAAGAAGAAGAAAAAAACCAATAACAGCTGATATTAGGTACACTAATGGTGCTAACCTAAGGTGACCAGATTTTAACATCAGTAAAGCGGGACAAAATGGGACAAAATTAAATGAATTCTTTTCTATCATATGCTCTAATTATTGTTTTTCGATTTGTAATTTGTCAGTGATTTTCACTGTCCTTTTTCCATAAGCAGTTTTAGTTTTAAGTACTTGGATTTATTGACACCATATTATTCATTCTGGAGTGTTTTCATTTGAACTCCTTTTTAGCTTTCCATATATATATATATATATATATACATACACACACACATACACACACATATATATATATATGTTTCAAGTACATGGAAGCTCTGGTCATTAAGTATGAATCAGAATGATGATTAAATCCCTTCCAAAATGATGATGGAAATGGAAATAATGGCTAATTTTTTTCAGAAAGATGTCTCTTCTGAAAAACTAGACGTGTGTGTTGGGTGGGGGGGCTGCAAAAAGGGGGTATTCAATGATTTATTGATCTTTTGATCAAATATTCCCTTTCCAAGATAAACACCTAGAAGGGAATTTAGGGAAGTACTTTCTGAAAACTCAAAGAAAACCTCTTCAAACGTAAAGCACGTCTTAGACCCTCAGGGCAGGAGCTCCACGCCCTGGCAGCTGTTCTCCTGTGTGTATTTAGGGTCCCTGCTTCGCATGGTGTCTTCTGCCATTCCACGTAGCTGCCACTTAATGGCTCTGCTGGCTTCAGTGAGATGGCCCTCCGCTCTTCTCCCTAGAGACCTGGAGCGAAAGGTCTCCATGTGGGGACCGAGGAAGGGAATGGAAGAAGTTTTCTTTCCTTTCTTTTTTTAAAATTTGTAAGCTTCTTCTTGAGATGGGGGTATAGGTGGCCAACCTGAATTAATTTAAGAGCTTTGCTGAGACAAAGGATCAAGGAGGGCTTGGGGTCACTGAATTCGTGGGTTTCGAATGGCTTAATGCAGTTTGGGATCACTGAAATCTTGGGTTTAGAATGGCTTAATACAGTTTGGGATTATTGAGATCTCGGGTTTAGAAGGGCTTAATGCAGTTTGGGATCATTGAAATCTAGGGTTTAGAATGGATGGCTTAATGCAGCTAGCTAGGCTGCAGGGCTGCTTCGCTGTCAGAAGCCTGAGAATCGAGGCCGAGCTCTGGTGCTCTCATGTGTGAGGGTTCTACACATGTGTCCTCAAAGCAAACAGAAATATTAACGCCCTCAGAGACCAGATTCCAGGAAGTGTTTTAAACAAGTCAGTTTGGGACGCATACTCTTTTAGTTTCCATTTCTGATGCCTTCTCTGATTGCCCAGCCTTCACGTAGCATGCCCAGACTGCGTATTGCCTTAGCATTAGGAATAAAAGGAACACCACTGGCAAGTGCATCCAGAAGAAAGGACTCCCACGCAGAAAAGCAGCAGACCTCCCGGAGACCAGCGAGCAGAGCTACTTAAGAGTTGGAAACATGCCTTATACTGCGGATGCGTCGTGGCCAAGACTTTGTATCTTGATGGTAATCCAGGTTCATCTTCTCTGTTCAATTCTGGAATCTCCTCTCACCAACCCATGCAGCCTATCAGATCCAGTGCTGATGAGGAACAAAGGATGACTTGGGCATGCGTAGATTTTAGTTGTGTTTACTTTTTCCAGCACAAGTCTTCAATGGCCAGCACGTCATAGTATCCCTTGTGCCATCAGATTTACTGTTGAGTGTCTACGCATTGGACAGATGGGAGCATTGTTTTACATTGTTGTTGTTATTGTTCCTTGTTGTTCGTTGGGCTCCAACTCAAAGCGACCCTGTGCACAACGGAACGAAACTCTGCCCTGTCCTGTATCACCCTTATAATTGCTCTGATATTTGAGCCCATTGCAGCAGGCACTGTGTCAGTTCAACTCGTAGGGGGCCTTCCTCTTCATCACGGCCCTCCACTCTAGCAAGCATTAGAAACTGAGGATGCATGCAGGCTAATTGTTCTACAGTAGAAAATTATATCTTAACACAAAAACTAGGTTAAAATTATCCACAAATCCCTATGGAGTATCATGTGAAGCCTTCAAATTGAGCATAGCCTGTGAGTTAGCCCTTCCACTTTTAGACATTTATTCTAAGGATACTGTCGGACCAGGATCTAGATTGTATGCGCATGGTTACTGTAGACGTTCTGTGGGTAAGAGCATGAACCCTGCGGGCAGACGGTCTGGCTTCCAGTTTTAGCTCCATTACTTACTAGCTGAATCACCTTCAGCATGCCACTTGACCTGTCTCTACTTGACTTACCTTCACCCAATTTGTAAAAGGGAGTGATGAGTTTCCTTGCCTTGTATGTCCTGTACTGTCATGGAAAATAAGCAAATTAATATACATAAGTTGGAAAGGATGGCTTGTTATTTATTACTAATAGAAAATTGGAAAGAACTCCCTTATGCATTGACTTATTGGGAAAAAAACTGCTATGTTTTAAAGTGTTAAGAGAAAAAAAAGAAAAAGAAGTAGATTACATAATAATATAGTAAGTGTGAATGCCAAATAATTGGATACCAAAAGGTCACCAGTGGTATGTTTGGGCCATGGGATTATAGGCCACAATAGTCCTTTCTTATCATTGCTACTTCATAAGTTTTCTACAAAACAAGTAATGTGCTATCATAACAGTTGTGTTTTTAACCTCTGTGAAGTAATAATATCTATTATCTGTTGAGAGTTTACAGTGAGTCATGTGTTTTTCTAGGCACACGCATTTACTGCTTTTGATAACCCTGTTAGACAGATGCTGTGAATATCATGTCTACTTTGCAGACTAGGAAATTGAGACCCAAGGAGATACAAGACTTCCAACATCTATGATGTAGCAGAAGTGGGATTTGGGCCCTGGCAATGTGATTCAGCCCGTGCCTATGGGTTAAGTATTGTCTCTGTCTGATTTTGGTGGCCTGAGAGAGCACTGAACAACATCACCCACAACTCCCTGTTGCAGTCACTGTTTAAGGGAAATGATCGAGAGTACCTGTTTCCTTGTATCCTGTTGCCTACTCATAGATAAGTGGAAGCTTTTCAGCGCTCCAGTCCTCCTTTTAGTTATTTCCCTTGGTAAATGGGGAGAATATATCAGATAACGTATTTAAATAGGCTTTCGCTTCTACCCCTTATTTATGTTTTATAAAATCATAAACTGAACTAGAAGAGCATCTACGTTTCCCACTACCACCTTATTAAAATACAGAGACTTCATGGTGCAGTGATGAAGCACTGGGATGCTAACTGCAGGATTGCTGGTTCAAGCCCCCAAGCAGCTCCAGTGGAGGAAGACCTGGCCATCTGTACTGTACAGATCTAGACCTAGGAATCCCATCGGGGCAGTCTGCTCTGTCACACAGAGTCAGCAGGAGAACATTACTCAAACAGGACCAGGATTGGATTTGCATACATTCATCTGTATATTTAAGATCATTTGGTACATGAAAGTCAAGATAGATAACTCTTCAGAAAAAGTAACAGGAGTAATGGTTCCCTGAGGGTACTGAAAGAGAAGGGAGGGAAGAGGGAATGGGGAGCTGATAGCATTGATGACTGTATAACCGCACTGGATGGGATCGAACAACAGAATTGTATGTGAATGGATATATTGGATTGTGTAAGCTATGGCAAAAAACCCAGTATTATAGGAAGAAAAAATAAAGAATGAGTTCCTGGAGGGTATGGTGGGAGAAGCATGGGATAAAGGGGAGCTGGTATCAAGGAATTCAAGAAGAAAGAAAATGTTATTGAAACTGATTGTGGTAGCAATTGTATAATACTGCTTGATGTTATAGAACTATGTAATGTTACTATATCTGTAAGAGCTCCCAATAAAATGATGTAAAAAAATATTGTAATAATAATAAAGTAGGGCCAGGAGTAGCTACTAGATCTCTTTAATGACTGCTGATTTCTTTCAAATGTGCAGAAGATAGAAAAGTGCAGGAATGAAGTGACTTTAAGCTTGCAAAGGTGACCAACTATCATCCCACTGGCAATAAAGTATAGAACAAACTCATCCCTTTCGCTCGGAGTCCATAATTGCCACATTTCAAAGGCAGGATGAAGTAACAGTGGCTTTTGAACAATTGTCTGGTCTCCTTCTAGATGTTTTGTTTTGTGCGGGAGCATTAGAGTTGAATGGAAACTGGGTATGTCAGAGTGACCAGTGTACACTAGAAATGCTATCTTTTTTAAATCATTTTATCAGGGGCTCATACAACTCATCACAATCCATACATACATCAGTACTGTAAAGCACATTTGTACTTTCATTGCCCTCATCATTCAAAAAACATTTGCTCTCCACCTAAGCCCCTGGCATTTGCTGCTCATTTTCCCCCTCCCTCTCCCCTTCCCCCTCCCTCATGAACCCTTGATAATTTATAAATTATTGTTTTGTCATATCTTGCCCTGTCCGACGTCTCCCTTCACCCACTTTTCTGTTGTCCGTCCCCCAGGGAGGGGGTTATATGTAGATCCTTGTGATTGGTTCCCCCTTTCCACCCCACCTTCCCGGTATCGCCACTCTCACCACTGGTGAAAATGCTGTCTTACCTGCTGGCTGTACCCACAGGATCTATTTTTGTAAATGGCCCACCCTTATCATTTAATAACCTACCCCATCATTTGCTAGCAGACAAGGCTGTCAGGAAAAGTATTTTACTAGCTAGCTTTACAAATTAGCAATCCCTGAGATTGTAAAATATGACAATTTAGCCAGGCATTACTCAGAGGGAACTAATTAAGATCAGGGAGCTTCTAGGCGTGCATGGCATCATTGGACAAGGTTTCTGAAACCCAGAAGGAATAGCTGGGCTCAGCCCTCATAAATGGCCACCCTCGTCTTGCCAGGATTGTTCTGTGAGCCAGAACCATCACCTTCACGATGGGGTCCATCTCGGTCTCCCCAGAAGGGTCTGGGCTTTGTGAGAGGCATTGCAGAAACTCTGGAAGTCAGGGAGTTTCTCTCTCGGCCTTACCACTGCATGCCTGTCCCTCTAGCCAAATTAACAAAACTCTTCACGCAGAGGAACCTGTTCAGCAGTGGGTCACAGTCTGGTGGCAGCTGGTAGCCACGGCTCACTTCGGCCTGTTAGGACAACGGTAGAAACCAAACTCACTACTCTCAAGTCAATTCCGACACACACTGACCCTATAGGACAAGGTAAGAGCACCCCTGTGGGTTTCCAAGACTGACCCTTTACAATCCTTCAGAGCAACACGTAACCACTATGCCACCAGGGGTCCTGGAAATGGCTTATAGTTTATTTGGATGCCTCTCCGGTTGCCCCGCCTTCCTGAGGACACACAGCCTGGGGCAGGAGAAGGAGCATGGGGATTGGGTCCTGGTAAGGTACATCACTTGCAAGTCTTAGACAACTCAGCTTCAGCATCCTCCACAGTAGAACGGTGAGACTGATGCCCAAGATGGATTTTAGATT